CTAGGATCTGGAACCAACTTCCAAGCGATGCAGTGCTGCCTCCTACCCTGGGGGTCTTTAAGAGGAGGCTGGATGAATACCTCGCCAGGGTCATTTGACCCCAGTACTCTTTCCTGCCATAACAGGGGGTTGGACTAGATGATCTACTCAGGTCCCTTCTGACTCTAGAAACTATGCAACTATATTTTAGTTACTTTTTCATTTTTCTCAGATAGGAAAATACGAATATTATATAGTTTTATAGTACTTTTTGCCAAGCATCTCATAAGAATATTAATTGGTTACCCTTTATGAAGGGTTAGGCCAGAGGTCTGTTTTTATTTTAGTAAGGTGCTCAGTTTCAAGGAAATTGAACAACTGTTATTTATGCCATATACCTAGCATGTCCGGTCACAGTCTCAGCTGTTAGTCTGTGTGACTGAGTGCACACAAGCCATTGCAAAGCTCAGGGAAAGTTGTCTTTCCTGGAGTTACAACAAAACAACATATTTTTGCAAATTTGCACATTAAAAAGAGCTTTGCAGAGGTTTTGAGGAGAACAGGTGGTCAAAACTGAGAGGTAATTGCTCTTTTTGAGTAATAATAGTAATAATAATCTCTAATGAAATGTGTACATTCCAAAGCTCTTGGTAGGAGTACAAAGTTGCACCCAGAATGTAGTATATAAGATGGGCACGTAATAGAGAAGCCATGTTCTGATAGCATGTCTCTGCTTTCAGAATTACATCAGTCTACCAGACTGTTTAGAGCCAAGCCAGGCCTATATAACTACAAGTGCAGTGGACAGCCACCTGCTGCTCTATATATTTCAGCAGAATCAGATGCTCACAATCTAAAGTGGCCCTTGTGATTGCATTTTTAGCTTTTGACACAGATTAAGGGATATGTTGCCTGCCATTCCTCTACTATACACAATATACTGTGAAATAAATAGGCCTTTGCTGAATGGTTCTTCTTCTGAAAAATTGTTGTGTAGACATAAACCATATAGAAAACAATTCTGCATCCCTATATCCTCGTCTCATCCCACAACTTACAGTTTAAGTTTAACTCTGAAAAAATTGATGAGTGTGATTGAACAGCTTAGGGCACTAGAGTTACTTCACACGGTAGTGGTCATGGACAATTTCATGAAATTTAGAATGATAGTCATTATGGCACCTGTTGTTGGTTGTGGTCTACTTTTATTTGTGTAAGAGAAGGATGGTGTGCATGTGTACACGCAAACATTTGTGAAGAATTTTTTCAGGAAGAATCCCCAGTTTCTTAGTTCAGGTTCTGTTCTTGACGATAAGTTCCTTGTCACAGTTATTCTGTAATTTCAGGTAAGATTTTTCTCTTTGATCAGTTTAGCTGAGCTATTGAGGAGACAAGATTGATAAATAAATTTGTCATAAGCCTTCATGTAATTTACATGAACATCTCTGATATGGTTAATGGTTTATAGCCATTACTTGAGTTTGTAGGGTGAGCGTAGCCTCTCTATATCTTGGAATTCCTTACCTGATCCTCCATCAGGACAGAATAGTTCTAAGGATGTTTCGTTTATATACTTCTCTAAAATTTTCTACCCTTTCCTCTGCATGCTGACTTATCATTCAGTTGTTTATAGGTATCATTATCTTTCTCGTGCTTTTATTCACTCACTATCTCAAGCACCCTTGCTCTCAGAAACACACAAAGCCAATGTTCTCGTGACAGGTGGGCAGCACTTCTTGTGCAAATGAATTCATTTGCATGTGAATGTGTTAATTTGCACACAAATACCTGTATTCAGATTAATAAAAGGCTTTTATCCAGTTGTGACACTTGGGGAAACAAAAACAGGGTTCATGAATGTATAGAGAAAATGGGGGAAAGGTTATGTCTTCCTGAGAACTGGAATTTTGTTACTATGTTCATGAGTAACTTTTACCTCCATTAACTGTCTTAGAAAACTGCAGGTTGTAGACTTGTAATCTCTTTGGGATAGGATCTGTCTTTTCACTATGTGTATGTACTGTTCTTGGCAGAATAGGTCCCAAATCCCTAACTGAAGCCACTAGGAATAGGTGCAATATGCATAGTTAGTATATTAAAATTTCACTTGATCAGAATGAAACAATTTCCATTTAGGCAAATAGAAGAGGCCCAAAAACCTTTTAAATAATTATGAGAGATGTACTGAATCACTGTAGTGAAGCCTGTACAGCAGTGGGCTTATCTGTCAAAAATGTCCCATTTCATGGGCAGAGGCCTCATTTATAGAGCTTCTGTAGTTTGGAAGATGACTATATAGTTGTCCACAAATAACTTCCATAAGCATCTAAGGAGCCCCCTGTGGTCTGATAATGTTGTTTTGTGCCATAGAGTTCTCTGCGTCGTCATTACCATATAAAATATTCTACCTCCCTACACAATATGAGTCAGTATGTGCGTTATTTTTCTACAAGGAACTGCTAGTTCAGTTGTTAACAGTTTAATGTATTATCACTCCCAATACTTCTAGTGTTCCCATCAATCAGCAAGGAATTAACGGGTGAAAAGAATCAGTTGCTGACTGATAAGATGCCTGGCACCTTTCCTTTCTTGTTCAGTTTACATATTTCTGGATCTCTCTGAGGAAAAGAACAACACAGCAATGAGGTATGCATTTTTTTTATGTTTTGAAGCCTCCTTTGTTTAATTGGTGGAAGGCCAATGCAGAGAAATACATCCTTACCTATTTTTTTTTTTTTTTAAAGAATGTGACTCAAATCCTATTTTACCCCCAGGAATCTCTTACAGATAAAATGTCTACCCTCACACCAGAGAGTACCGTCTCAGGCTCCAAGATCCATAGCAAAGCTATGTCTGAAAGGATTCTGCAGTAGAATTGTACACAAAGAGAGGTTCATCCTTGCATTTAGGACTTTGCAGATTAAGAATAAGACTTTACTATTGTTCCAGTGTTGAACTGGGAAGCAATGCAGAGTAAGGATTACACTGTCATATCAACGTGTTCCTGCATGTTCCAAGACTTCATGTTGTAATGACTGAAGGATGTACTCCTTTTTATTCTGAAGTAGGAGGCCTTGCAGCAGCACTGGGGTTGCAGACCTAGAATGTTTATTTATTATCTGGTTTCCTATAAACTGCAGTATACTTGTGTGTAACATCCATCCTTCAAACCTTGATTGGTTTAGGATTCAGAGTGAGTTTAGATTGGTTATCATGATTTAGTTTGTGATTATCGTACCCAAAGTGTAGTTGGGATTATGACAGCATTCAGTAGAGATTCCATAGTTGAAATAAAAAGAAATGCTCTGGATATGGAAGCCTTGCAGCAAGAGACTGTCAAAACAGGAGACAAATTGTAGAACAAGTCATCAGAAATGGTTTGACTTTTCACCCTGTTGAGTTCGGTGAGAGAGGAAACAACTCATCAGGTACAAAGTAATGTTCTGAGGTGACCAAAACCCAGAGAATTAATAAGATTTCCAATATTTAAATGTTTGCAAAAGCTGCAGTGAGAGAAGGCCTAGTAAAATGAATTTGTGTCCTTGCTTCGATGCATCAAACCCTCTCACAGGCACCTAGCAGCAGCACAGAGGAGCTCTAACACTTTTATAAATCCAACACGTTGACTGGATAATTTATAGTCATTACAGTCAATATGTGTTTCAAAAAAGTGAGAAAAGAATAGGACAGGGGTTATTCCTGGCCAGTGTTTGGAAAGATGAAATAGAAATAACAGGAAGATGTTTCACAGCTTTTTCAGAACCACAACTCAAAGGAATCATTACAAAGTGAAGAAGTAAAGGCCAGTGTCGCCGCCTTGCACAGAAGGATCTAAAAACTTTTTGTATTTTCTATCTCTGATTTCATTACTCCTAATAACTCGTTTCCTGATGGAAGGTAAAGAGGTACCTGAAATACAGATTCAAGTCCTTTTAGTTAAACCTTTATCTCTTTGTCATAGCGGGTTTTTTTTCTTCTGTAGTTCCATTCATCTGCTCTACTGGAACTTTCAGTCGCGCTGTGTTAAAATATGGCTGTTCTAAGCTAATATGCATTAACTTTTTAGAAACTGTTTTATACATAACCTATTGTATTAATATAAAACGTTAAGGCCATTTTTTCGTTTCCTGGGAATGGCCCATTACATTGTGAGCAATCTACTCTTGCTTTTTTAAAAAAGACTTTGAACTCAATACAAAAGGAAAATATAATCATGTACAACTATAAAGACCGCTTTTTTCCCTTTTGTGCAGTGTAACAGAGGTGGATGAGTAGCATGGTAATGAAGAGATGGACCGTCTTTATTAGCACGCTCAGTGAAAAGGTTCTTTTCAGAACTTCAACTTTTCTTATCTTCTTAGTTTTCATGGTGTCTATTGGGACTCTTTCCTTTTCTTGACTTACTTTTAAATATGGCTAGCTGACTGGCAAAGCCAAGCCAGTTCATCCTTTTCCAACAAGGAATAGACACATAAGGTCTAGTGACTTGGATGCTTCCATAAAAGTTTTCTTATATTTAGATGTATAATGCCGCTGGATTTGACTGGGTACTGGTATTATATGTATTGTGTAGTAATTCTTTAATATCTATAACAACAAACCCAGTAATAGCTGCAGTAAGACACATTTATACGGTAGTTAATGATGGCTAATGATATAGGAAGTTTTTTTTTAATACTAAAATAAGACGAGTAATGCCACTTAACCTTCTGCTCTAGAAATTGTTTAATATGGCAGATTTGCTAAGGACTGTTTGATCCCTAGTCCTCTTCTGCAGTTTTCTCCTACAACCCTTTTAATATTTCTCTGCTCCTCCTCCATGCTCCTTATTTTTTTCTGTGTTCCTCCCACCCTTTCTGCTTCCACATTCATTCTTTGTTGCACAGGGAATTCACTTTTAATCTTTCTCATTTTAAAAAACCCACAACTTAAAAGGAAGTGATTGTGTGATTTTTATGGGTCCCCTATAGGCAATTGAACAAAAGAAAAACATGCTTTCCAGTGCTTTCCACTTCCATTGTGATGCAGAGTAAAATATTCTACCATCACTACACTGAGCAGTAGGGTAGGCCTTGCAAACAGGATCACCAAGGGATTAATTTTTGGTGGTGGAAGATTTGAAGCCTCACTTTGATTAGGAATGTGTAGTTACTATATTATTATAACATTGTAGAATTGTGATGGGTTGTTTTGTAGGAGTACTCTTGTTACATTACTGGGGCAAAGTGAAAAAGAAAAACTTCCAGTTGAGAAGTGCTGTTATTCCTGACACGTCTTTAAGACTTTAGTTGTCTTAGTTGACTGGGATCTTCTTGGAAATGGTGTCCTTGAAGCAATGCCATGTGAGTCTTACATTTATTAAAGCACAAAATAAAACTGCAAATAAAAAGCTATAGAGTGCTTTGAATGAAGACAGTGGTGTAGATCTGGATCATATATGGGCTTGAATTTAGAGTCAACTTTGCTCAATCAGCTGTGATTTTTAAAGTACTAAACACAATCAGTTTTGTTTTAGGAATCCTGGACTTGAAAGAGGATGTTTTCCTGACTTGTAAGATCCAACACAATATTGATATAGAGTCAGTATAGTCACATATTGTACTTCTGTTTATAAATAAAAGTTGACTGTCCTAACAGTGTCACAAACTACTCAGAGAATTATGCCCCCAAAGTCAAAATCCATTGCTCATTTATAAAATCAACTATTATGCCAGAAATGTAAGTTTTTCTTCATAAATATGGAAGATTTCCCATGCTTGTGAGCATTTGGTAAACCTTTTGAGTATTTAAGTGCTTTAGGATCTTCTGATGAAAATTTCTAACAGTATTATTACTGAAGACATCATTGGTTCCTTGTAGATTACAGCAGTGCTGCCTGGTGTTTTGCTGGCCAATATGTAAAGAATCAAACTGAACTAGATAAAGGACAGCTAATACTTTTTATTGTGCTTCATTATTATTTTGAACTCAAATTTGAGTATTTTGCTTGACTATTTTGCATATAAATTATTTTTTTAGTAGAAACAAATGCCTGAAAAAAGAGAAGCACTAGAAGGAGACATGTTTGTCAAATGTCCTGATTTATTTTTATTTTTCGGTAACATGCATGATGTAGAATGTTACTGTTTTAGGAGAATGACATTTAGCTAATGAACCTCTAAATTCTGTATTGTAAATATGCTGCAAATTGATTTTGGGATATTTACATTCAGAACACATATAAAGAGATTGCTTCTTTTTTCCTTGGCACTTTCAGTTATTTCTGAATCATCATAGTTGTAAAAGTTATTCTGTACCTAAGGCTGCTCAAGTAGAAACTGGCAGTAACAGGATGTAACTTAAATACAAATGGAATATATGTGCATTGTAGCCTGACAGCCCCTGACAGGCTGTAGCATAACCTTGTTTGCAAGACTACCAAAATCATCTCTTCCTGGTTGCAATTTCCACTAATCATTCAACTTATTTAAGAGCAAGTACATTTTTGTGATGGAGTAACTTTGATTTTCTGTGCAAGTGCATATTTTGTTTAAGGCATTACTAGCTATTACAAAAATCTGGAATCATTTTATTTTGCTGACACTTTCCAATATTATAAGATCTTCTATATGGCAGTTAGATGAATATATGTTTATGTGCATTGTGTTCCGGAATATCCATTTTTGTTAAGATGCAGGTGTGTTGAGGAACGGCTTTAAGGGATGCAAGGGAAAATTTTTAAGGTCTTTGGGCACAGAATTGCCTCAAGTCCATATGTAAGAAGACATAATTAAATAGGTATTATTTTTTGGTAGGAGAAGAGTATGGAAAAGAGTTCACCATCCCTTCCAAATGCTATCGGTAAACCACTCTTTGAAAATCTACTTGGATATATCAAATCTTTCTTGATTTCACTATATCAGTTATATCCTCTGAGGCTTACATTTTATGAATGCCTCCGCAGGAATGACTGTTACCTTGTGCAGCCAGAACTGTTGTAACCATCAGAATGTCAAAAAACTGTGAAGTATAAGTACAGTAATCAAGTATATGAAGTTGATTTAGTTATGCTCGTGTAAAGCTGGAGTAACACAGTGGTGAAACAGTCCTGTGCTACAAAAAGATATAGTCTGTTTTGATAGACTTCTCATCATGGTCTACCCTGACACATTAGCTTGAGTTTAAAAGGAGTAACAGCATCTTTGCTAAGTTCTAAGTTGTGTTATTAATGGCCTTAGCTAAGAATATTAAAAAACACTTTCTATTGTAAAAAAACAAGAAAAACCCTGAGACTTATGAGCTCCTGCAGTGGCCTTGGTGAATCGAGGGGCCCCCCACATGGCATGTGGCAGTGGGAGGCAGTGGGGATCACCCCCTACTGGGCAGGAACGATGAGTCGGGGGGGTGTTTTTCTTAAAGGGCTGGAGCTGGGGTGGGCGGGGCAGCCATGGGGCGGGGAACTGGGGGAGCAGGGGGGAGGTCAGGGGTCTTGTACAGAGCCCCCCACACATCATGGGGCAGCAGGGGACAGCAGGGGGCAGCGGGGATTTCCCCTTGCCCCGCAGTACCTGGTGAGTCAGGGCTTTTTTATTCAAAGAGTCGGGAGCTGGGGCAGGCAGGACAGCCATTGCTGGGGCTGGGAAAGCGGGCGGGGGATGGGCCTGGGTGATTCAGAGATTTGGCAGCAGCCGAATCTCCAAATAAGATTTGGCTGAATCAATTTGGGACAGTGATTCGAATCACTGAATCGAATCACTGTCCCCTGGATTGACTGAATTCGAATCTGAAGCAAATGCTTAACACAGGCCTACTGGTTGCCGGTGTGGAAAATTCTCTGAAAAGCTCTGAAATAAAAAATATTACTGGAAATATTATTATTCCATTAGCTAAATCCATGATACTCTCTGCTCTGGAATATTTTATTTACTTCAGAGATAGAATGTAACCAGAAGTAAAAAATGTTATGACTGCCATATGAAAACTTTGGAAAGACCAAAACTAATTTTACAGAAGACTGGAGGAAAGTAATATAATAGAAGTCTACAAAATAATGAATGGTCTTGAGATGGTAAATCAGTTGCTCCTAATTACTTCTCACAGTAGAAAAATGAGGCATATGAGTGAAACTGTCAGGCATCACATTCAACCTTGATAAAAGAGAGTATTCAGAGAGCATAATTAACCTGTATCCCTCATTAGTACAAGTTATTATTAAGGCTGAGAGCTCAATAGGAATAAAAAGTATGATTTAATTTAACGGATAATGAGAAAGTCCCCAATTACTCATATGGAAAAAAATAAATACAGGCACAAATCTTAACTGATGGGGCTAGGTTAAAGCTACTCTTTATGGACTGGCATCTCTTGTTATTTTCCCTTTCCCTTTTAAAGCATCTGGTACCACCTGCTTTCCAAGGCTGGATACCAGACTAAAGGGCTCCCTGATCAGACTAACCATGGCAACTCTTAAATTCTTGTTCTAAAAAGACCACCAAGTTGTTTATTCAACACATTTGGTATTAACATTTCCTGTTGAGACTGAGGACAAACACAGCCTTTCTCAGAAAATGTTTTAGTTTTAGAAATGGGTAACTCCACTACTTATTTCATGAGGCCACCAACTAACAATTTTCATTATTACACAGATGAGCTGAATTTGGACCAGTCATACATTGGAATGTCATGTACCATGCTACCAATCTCAAAGATAAATGGGGAAGTAAGGGGAGGGCATGTTTTACGCTCCTTCTGAGGGGAGCAAGTGACTGGGCATGTCTACATGTATATTTAAGTGTGCCTAAACTTAATGCACCTTTGCTTAAGGTTCATTAGGGTGATTTAGGAATGTGTCTACACGTAGACATGCTAATGTGGATTAAGGCCCCCTTAATTAAGCCACGCATCTTTCTGTCTATATCATGTTGCATTACCCATTATCCTGGTTCTCTGGGTTTTTCTACAATTTCACTAACTGTTGGTATGATAGAAAGATCTTTTAGTGCATGCCAAAGAAAAAGACCCAGCCACTAAAACACTGGCAGTTAATGCATTACATTTTGACATTACATACCGCAGAAAGTAGTCCAGCAGATTGGGAAAAGGATTGGAGTGGCACTCAGGAAGGGTATGGGGCTAATTTGTGGCATGCCTACGGAAAAGTTTGGTCCCACTGAAGTAAAGTATGTCTCAGTGGGTGCCTCTACATGATATGTTTACAGTGCAGTAGACTAACTGGCTGTACAGTAAACATTGCATGTCTACATATGTGCCCCTATTAAGCTGGAATAAACTAATTTATTCTGCAATAACTCCGCAGCAGCACAGGTGCAGATGCTGCCCTGGCTGGCTGGGGCATGAGCGTGCGTTAGTGCGGGGGCTGTCTGCTTGCTAGCCTGTGTACTAAAGCACCATTTTGCCCCAGCCAGCCCCTCTGCAGCACATTGAAGTTAGGTGCGATAAGCACTGGAGTTTATTGCAGTGCATTAATATGCATGTGTAGACATGCCCAATGTTTCCTTTTCTGACCTTGAGTTTCCTTGAGGTCATAGAGTATGGAAGGGGCTCAGCACTTCTGAAGATCAGAACCTTGAAACTGATGTGTGTCATATTAGAAAGAACTTTCCAAACAATAGCTGCATGTATTCCAACAAAAGCACATTCCACATCATGTCTGCTTTTACTACTTAACTACCATCTTATTAGTCAAGCATCCTTTCTTGTTGCATTATAAAGCTTGCTGATAAAACTTTAACATATCCCTGCCCTTTCCTCAGGACCAGGTGGCTAGTGGCAAGGTGTAGGGGGTGCATGCCGGTGCACGTGCACCCTCTGAGTATGGTGGTGCATCCCCTATGGAAAGGCGCTGTCGACAGTGTTGGTGGCACCTGCAAGTGGTCACCGCTTGCCACCCCCACTGCTGACACTGCCGGCGGTGTCTGTGGGTGGTCAGTGACCACCGCTGGCCACTGACAATGCTGCTGGTGGCATCTGCGGGTAGTCACTGACTCCCAGTTGGCACTCACCACCTCTCTCCCCCCCACTGCTGATAGTGCTGGCAATGTTGGCGGGAGCTCCCCGGCTTACCATCACTGTGCTCCCGCCACTGCGATCCCACTGCCGCCAGCACTGCCATGCTCCCGCAGCCATAGGGGGCACACATTGTTCATGCAGGTGGCAGACTTCCCTTCCTTCTACTGAATGGTTTTTGACTAGTGCAGCATCCTTGTCTTTTTCCCTTTACATGAAAATTAGAAGATTAAGAGGTAACTTGATTGAAATCTGTAAGAACCTCGAGGAAGATTACTGATAGTAGAAGACTTCTTAATCTAGCATATGGAGGCATAACAATATCCAGAAGCTGGAGGCAGAACTAGATAAATTCAAACTGGGACAGACATTCAAAAAGCCTGAGCCTGAACTGATTCAATCTTTGCAGGTTAGTCTAAACTTGCTAGGCTGTACTGGTTTGAAACTTACAGACATTCTCTCTAGACTGAGGAAATTCAGGCACACGCCTTCAGTGGCTCAGACTAGAAGCTGGGGTGTTGGTGCTAAAGCAGCCCTCCCTTCCCTTCTGCAGGGAGCTGAGCTGAGGGAGGCATGGCCAGGCCCTGGCTGGACTCTCTCATTAAGGAGGTCTGCCTGCATGGG